CTTAACACGGCAGTGGGGTGAGCTGTTACCCGAAATTGGGCCAGCTAGTAAGCTTAGGGAGAACTAATGACCCACCAGAGTTTGGCAGAAAGCAGCACGTTTATTATACTGATAGCTAAGCTCAACAGAAAGGGAGACGGGGGGGGTCACACTCGCATACTCACACTCCCAGGACAGGCACGGTACTGGAGATGTCAGGATCATTCAAGGTAAGTGTCCCACAGCACAGCAATGGACGGTACGATGAAGGTAAGTCTTCCCCAATGCAATGCGGCGAACCACTGGCCAGGCAGTCCAGGCGAAGGGCCTTCACAGGAGGTACAAGTTTGTGAGTGCACTGCTGAGCACATGGCCCCTTCCCCTTTTAAGGGCCTGCTCCTCATGGCCTGCGACTAAAGATGACTTGGCCGCGTCTGGTTGGTCACACTCCACCTCGGGCAGTGTCCATGCAGCGTCCATGCATTGGGTGTGTGAGTGCTGCCTAATTAGAGTCCCAGACACCTTGTCTACCTGGGAGCTCTTCTGATCTTCCAGCTGTTCAACCAGCCCATTCATCCCACAAGCATTCCAGGAGGGAGGGGGAAAGCCACTTCACAGGTATTCAAAGAGGGAGAGGAGACAAAAGGGGGAGGGGGAAGTGTAACAGACCTTTTGAGCATACAGAGCATAGTTATACATAGCATACAGATCACTGCTGCTCCCACAACACTATCCATCCCAACTACAGACCTAGCTTCTCTCAGGGGTGCATGCTCAGAGCGGCTAGCCCCTCCTGCTGCTTGTGCTGCCACATCTACGTTTGATTTTTAGCATACTAGCTCAATGAGAGCTAGCGGGAATATCTTCTCAAACTGAGAATCACCCCTAGTTCCAAATGTAGTCAGACCCTGTGTAATTCGCCAAATTATGCAGGGGGGCCAGGGAGAGCAGTTGTTTCTCAACCTGGGTGCCAAATCCTAACAAACACAGCCTTAACTAACCTGGTGCAAATTTGTGTGTAGACAAGGCCTAATGAAACTGGCAGAGCCCCCTAATGTAGCTGCACTTAAACCTGCTTAATCCTTCATTATATCCATTTAGCTGAAGTCAGTCACGTCTAAAAACAAAAGTTGCCCTAGTTTACTTAAAATCTATTTTAAAATCAGTTTAGTTAAACAGCGACAGAGTCCTGTGGCACCTTATAGACTAACAGAAGTATTCGAGGATGAAGCCCTCTTCGGTGTAGATGTCTTCGGTCTACACCCAAGAGGGCCTCATCCTCCCTGACTGAACTAACCCCGTTATCTCCAGATGGATTCTTGCCTGCATATTTATACCTGCCTCTGTAAATTTCCACCACATGCGTCTGACGAAGTGGGTATTCACCCATGAAAGCTTATGCTCCAATACTTCTGTTAGTCTATAAGGTGCCACAGGATTCTTTGTCGCTTTTTACAGATCCAGACTAACACAGCTACCCCTCTGATACTTTAGTTAAACAGCGCATCTTGTGTGTGTAACCCAGGGCCTAACTTGCCAACACATGATACATTGATGTAAGCAAGGTTTTCAAATGGTTTTAAGGGAGTCTGCATTAGGAGGGTGTACTATTTTAACTCGATTGTGTTTTGTCATTTTGTTTTAAATCAGTTTAGTTAAATGACTGCACTTTTCCACTGTAGATAAGGCCTGGGGAAAAGACCCCTCACCAACCTTGCCTTCAATATCCCCTCCCCCTTCACTTTTCATTCCATTTAGCTGATTTCCCCCTTCCCCAAAGTAGACCCACCTTCCTCACCCCCCTAAAAATGGAACTAATATGCCATTTGCCACTATTGCATAGCTTGCTCTTGTTCCATTCTATATGCATCCGAAGAAGTGGGCTGTAGTCCACGAAAGCTTATGCTCTAATAAATTTGTTAGTCTCTAAGGTGCCACAAGTACTCCTGTTCTTCTTTTTGCGGATACAGACTAACACGGCTGTTACTCTCAAACATAGCTTGCTCTGTTTGTGTTCTTCCCCCTCCCCCACCCTGGGTCTGTCTTGTCTATTTAGATGGGAAGTTCTGCTATTGTCTGTCCAGTACCTAGCACAATGGGGTCCCAATCATGGGGGGGTCCTTAGGCACCACCATAATAACCATGATTAATTAAAAGATGTTGTTTTTCAATGGACAGGTTTCAGAGTAGCAGCCGTGTTAGTCTGTATCCGCAAAAAGAAGAACAGGAGTACTTGTGGCACCTTAGAGACTAACAAATTTATTAGAGCATAAGCTTTCGTGGATATGCATATGCATCCGAAGAAGTGGGCTGTAGTCCACGAAAGCTTATGCTCTAATAAAATTGTTAGTCTCTAAGGTGCCACAAGTACTCCTGTTCTTTTTTCAATGGAGTTAGCTAACATGATTAGCACTTAGTAGAGGTTCCATTTAACACCTTTTAAATTCATGTTAACTGGTCATGATGTACCCTGGGGGAGCCTCACACCTTGGTTAACATTTTTAAAAACATGAATTATTTTCTTAATCTAGACAAGGCCAGAGTTTAAACCCCTCACCTCTGTGTCAAATCTAGTCTCTGGGAGCCTGAGGAGCAGGAACCTGCTGTTTCATGACCCTGGGTTTCAGTCTCACAACCTATCATATACCCGCTGCGGTGATAGCAGCTCTGTCCACCCACTATGGATTAATTGAGTTTAATTAAGCTGTTTGACAGTTAGGCCAGTGATACAAACAGACTTCCAGGCATAAGGAGGATATTAATACGCTAACAGACCTTGCTAAGTAGAAGGTTCACAGAGACACATCTGAGGGGTAGACGACAATTAACATCCTAAGACACTCTTCCAAAAAGGGAGTGTTAATTCAGACACCAGTGAGCAGGGGGAGATCCTTTGAAAAGATTACTATTACTACTATACTTTTACATATCACCGTAACCTTTCATTAAAAAGATGTTGGAGACAGACGAGCTTGGACTAAGGAGAACTCTGGGCTGGAGAGAGAGAAATCTGGAGTCTCACCAAAACAGAGGTGAGAGGAAACCATGGCAGTGAATGAAGTCCTCCAGGGAGCAAGTGTAAAGGGAAACAAGCACAGACCCCTGGCAAATAGCCATAGAGCAGGGGAGGAAGACGATGTACTGAAAGTGACACTGAAGGACCAGCTAGCAAAATAGGAGAAGCACAAAGAAATTCTGGATGGGAGACAAGGGCCATGTATATGCCTTGGGTGCCAGAGATATGCCACTGTAACTCGTAGTGTAGACACAGACTACATTAACGGAAGGGTTTTTTCCATCACTGTTTAAACTCCACCTCCCCAAGCAACCGTAGCTAGTTGACAGAAGCATTCTTCCACTGACTAGGTGAGTGGTTCTCAAATTTATTTGATCGAGTCCCCTTTGTGTCTGAAGTCGTTCATGCCTCCCTCCCACAAGTACATATTTTGCCACCCAGCTCTGAAGGCAGAGCGGAGAGCAGCAGCTGCTGCTGGCTGGGCACCCAGCTCTGAAGGCAGTGCCACACCAACAGTGGTGGAGAAGTAAGGGTGGCAATGTGAAAAATGATATTTGGCAATATCACTTTTCACAGCAGACTTAGCGCCCCATTACCACCCTTACTTCTGCATTGTTATTGCCACCCCGGGGCTGACAGCCAGAACCCAGCCATCTACAGGTAAGGGATTGGGCAGGGGGAAGAAGGAGAGCGCAAACCTGGGTGGTAGGGCTCTTGCTGTCCCCTTCATCCCTACTTCCCAGGTGTGCACAGCCTTCTGCACAAGCCCCAGCCACCCGGAGCTCTAACACACAGCTCGCGCCTCCCATGACACATTCCCACGCCTGCCTTGGGAGGCCCTCCCCATAGGTTAAGAACTACTGACCTAGCTGCATCTACACCGGGGGTTAGGTCAGTAAAGCTATGGCACTCAAGACTGTAGCTGTGTCACCCTACGTTTTAAGCGTAAGCCAGACCCGAGTTTCAAGGAAAATGGAGCGATCAACCATGTCAAAGAGCAGATAGAATGAGTGAATAAGTATAATGAAGAGACCTACAGACCTGGTCTACATTACAAAGGTAGGCTGAAATGTCCCACATACGTTGACCTATTTGTGCATATGGCTATGCTCAAATTTGTCTCTGGCCAACATCAATGTCCTGTTACAGTGATGCAGTAACACCACCATCCCAAATAGCGTAGAACCACAATCAACCGACTGAGGTCCACACCGTGAGTGTAGACACTGCATGACCTGTGTCGACCCTAACAGTCCTCCAGCAGCTATCCCACAATGCCCCAGTCCTCATAATAGTGACCACTCTGCTCACGACTTTAAACTCCATTGCCTAGGGGTCAAAAACACAGAAAACCAACCCCCCTTTAAAAATCTTGAGTATTTTTGAAATGCCCTTTCCTGGTTGCCAGGCTTGGTGAGCACATCTAGCAGTTCACTTTTGTCATCTGCAGCCAACTGATCACAAGTCCACGCCCACACTGGGGTAGACAGGAGTATTGAATCACCTGTGCCACCACAGCTATGGACCACCCATAGAAATGTGGACATCTACGAGCAGACTGGATGGGGGATGCAGGCAAAGGAGTATAGCAGGGATCAGCAGCAGTCCTGCATGAAGGCAAAGGAACTTCACCAGGAACACCACAAGGCCAGGGTGGGTAACAAGAAATCTGGTGCTGCCCCACAGACCTCACGCTTTTACAATGAATTGCATACCATCCTTCGGAAAGGTCCTACCAGCGATGGGCAGACCTCTCTGGATTCTTCAGGAGACTGCTCCCATGAACAGCGAAGGTGGGGGGGGGGGTATGAGGGGACCTGGTGAGGTATTTCAAGCATGCCGCAAGCCAGGACCTGTTTGAAATTCCACAGGAATTTAGTGCAGATGAGCCTGATGAAGAAGAGGAAGGGAGCTCAGGTAAGCGTGAGCATGCATGCATTTTCCTTCCAATGTTTTATTTGCTTTTCCTTCCTCTCCTTCTCCCACCCCCATTTAAAGATGTCACCCAGCCCACCGCCAAGTGTGCAAGACAAAAGTATTGACTTTTCATTGCTTTACTGATTTACTTGAGAAACTAAAAAGTTAGGAAGTAAATTCAAAACAAATTCCTGAACAGTCCT